GCAAGTCACATGCTCTCAGCCTCAGGGAAAGGCAATGGCAAACCTGCTCTGAATAAATCTTGCTGAGAAAACCCCATGATACGGTGGCCTTACAGTCGCCATAAATTGGAAATAATTTGAAGGCACACAACACGTATACTCCACAGTTTTAATCCAATGCTCAAACCGCTATAGCACACTGGCCCTTAGAAGGGGTAGTACTTCAGCCCAAATTCAGAAAAGGGAAAAAAGCCTTTTACAAGGCTATTGTAGATCTGTTAGGAACCAAAGGTCTGCTTCTGATAACTAGAGTTGCTTTCCAGCCAGGGAGAAACCAGGTGGGTTGTGTGTTTTTTTGTTTTGTTTTGTTTTCTTGACCGAAAGGTAGAGATTCAATCTCATTTCCCTCTTTCAACACCCCTGTCCATCAGCTCTACATCTTAGATCATGGCTGAGGAATTTGCAGGCTACTCTAGTGCTCCATATGTTATAGAGTTCTGCCAGCATGGGCTCTGCACCCATCTGCAAAGGGGATAATGGAAGTTATCAGCCATTGGTGACAGGTCCTTCCTCCATTCCAGTTGCCACTATTGTCCCATTATGGATTTGTAAACCACTCGGGGAACATTTCTATCTGAAGGCCAGGGTATAGATTGTTGTTGTTGTGTGCCTTCAAGCCATTTCTGACTTGTGGCAACGCTAAGGCAACCCTATCATGGGATTTTTGTGGAAAGTTTCTTCAGAAAGGTGTGTGCTATTGCCATCATCTGAGAAAGTGTGACTTGCCAAAGGTCACCCAGTGGGTGTTTTGTGGCCAAGCAGGGATTCGAATCCTACTCTCCAGAGTCATAGGCTGGATCCGCACTACAGAACTAATACAGATTGACACCACTTTAACTGCCATGGCTCAATGCTATGGAATTATGGAATCTGTTGTTGTGAGACATCTAGCCTTCTCTGTCAGAGCATTCTGATGCTGCAACCAACTACACTTCCCAAGCTATCCAACTACACTTCTCCAAGTGTAGTCCAAATGTAGTTCCAACCAACTACATTTCTCCATAGCATTGGGCCATGGCAGTTAAAGTGGTGTCAAACTGGATTATTACTGCAGTGCAGATGCAGCCATAGTCTAATGCTCAAACCACTTCACCAACCATCTAGGGCACTAGGTTGAGGAACAGTCCACTAGCATGAGCCCCATGACTTTCTATTTTGCACCTTATTTACTTTGTGTAGGGAGAATAAAAGAGGCTATAATAAAACCCTTCCACCATTTCCTTTTTTTAAAAAAGAAACAAGACAGGATGATGCTGGGGATGGTATGTGTGTTGACCCTTTACCTCTCCAAATTGATGGGGATGGGGAAATGCTTCATTACAATTTATTATGTTGTAATCCAGTTTTGATTAAAAATGAAAAAAATCAGATGCTATTTGATGTTTTCACTCCCGCTGGACCCTGATTGCAGAGCATGCAACAAAGAGAGTGATGCTAACTAGCACAGAGCCTGGTGGACAACAGAGAAGAAGGAGACAGACCAAAGGAAGCTTGCTTTCTCCATGCTGGGTGGAACCGTGCCTTTGAGGAGGTTTGGGATGATGTCATGGAGGCTGACCCTCCGAGGCCAAAACTCAACATGCATCCTCTCTGATTTATCATCTTTCCTTGAAAACGTGACTGTGAAACCTTGTCCTCTTAAATTTCCCTTTCCTTTTTCTGAAGGCTGTTATGTAGCCTTTATACACTGCATGTATATGTGTAGCGGTCGGAAAAGATACCATATATACTCAACTATAAGTCGACATCATGTCTAACACAAGGGCTGTTTTTGTGGCCAAAATTATAGATTTTCAATATGACCCATGGATAAGTTGAGGGCAAAACCTAGGGAAGTAAGGCTGTAAATGATGAAGCACAGGAAAAGAACACCAAAGAACTTACATAATTATGGTAGGCATAATGGTTTGTGCTCCCTCAAAATGCTGGGTGGGTGAAGAGTGAACTACCATCACTATTGTCATGGCCAGCCAGGCTGAGGACTTGGAAGAGTTTTGGGTGACAATTTTTAAAAATTTAATAATAATAATAATAATAATAATAATAATTTTTATTTATAGCCCACCTCTCCCTGCAGATCGAGGTGGGTTACAACAAACAAGAATAACAATAAAATACAATTAAAATCCACAGTTCTAAATAATCCCTTACCTCAACCCCTCCTCCCAATCATAAAAAAGAACAAACTAAAAACAGTAACAATAAAAAATGAACAACAATAACATACTAATTAAGATTATTAGATTTAATTAGATTAAAATACTAATTAAAATTTCTAGACTTACACATGAGTATATACAGTATGTTTTTACTCCACTTTCCAGAATCTCCTAGCCAGTCCAGCCAGCTCATTAGTTTGGGAGCTGTTGTCCAAAAAGTAACATTTCCAAGCATTTGTTCTGTGTGTGCATGCACACACACACACACACACACACACACACACACACACACCTGTATGCAACAGAGTTGTATGTGATATCGCAAAACCTGGGAGCAAGGCACCAAGGGTACAAATCAAAGGTCCTCAAACTTTTTTAGTTCTCAGATAAGAGAAAGAGAGCCTCCATCCCAATCTCTACTGTGCTGCAGCGCAACCTTTCTGATGACCAGAGGGGTACTATAGCTTTAGTGTAGTCAGACTGGATAATCTCAATGGACCCCACCATTGCAGAGCTAGCTCTGAGGGAATGGGGTTTTGTGTCCTTCCCTTTAACCTGGAAAACACAAGACATGCAAATTGACAATTCTCTCAAGTTGTCTCCGAGCTGCTTGCAAAGTCTGTGTAAAATATTAAGAGCTTTTGATATAGTAAACCATCTGCTGGATGGTCTTCAGACTCTAGGAAATGCCCACTATGTACTGGCATGCCTGTGATTTTATGAACCACAATCAATAATATACATACACAGCAGAGTTAGCATAATATCATTCCAGGGGGTTAAACTCTTGCAACACTTAATGGATAACCTTAATTCTAGGCTATTTAGATTTTTATACTTAGCAGAGATGATTGCAAAGAGTCTTGTGAGATGTCTTGCCTTAATCAAACAGTTGGGGGGAGGTGAGCTGAGATGCTTGTTTTAATTATTTAAAATTAAAATTATGTCTTTTATTTTAATTGATACTGATAAATGAGCCGAAGTCCTGTTATGATATTTTGCTTTGATCCTGCAAGCTCAGATCTTACAACAGTGACATGTATTGGAGCCAGCCCAGACCCATTACTAGAATCTATGAAAGGGGTTAAATCCAACTGAAGCATCTTTGTGCAACAATGGTTTTGCAGTTTTCTTGCAGCAATTCTGGTTGTGTGCCTTCAACTTGTTTCCAACTTATTGCAACCTCAAGGTGAATGGAGTTTTCCTGGCAAGATTTGTTCAGGGGTGTTTGCCATTGCTATCCTCTGAGGATGAAAGAGTATAACTTGCCCAGGGTCATCCAGTGGGTTTCTTTGGCTGAGCAGGGATTTGAACCCTGGTCTCCTGAAATCCTAGTCCAATACTCAAACCACTACACTATACTGGCTGTTCCTACTATAATACTCACCTCAAATGTGTCAGCTAAAATCTAGAAGATGAGATATAAGCTGCTTTCCTACCTTAAAATTGCTTTATTTTCTGATCTCATTCATTCACCAAAGATTAAGTTAAATCCAGGTTAAATGTATTAATAGTTAAATCAATAGATAATATTCCTAATTGAACAATAAAAGCAAAGTCAAATACTAACATTCAGGATAGACTACTGTACTGTGCTGTATATAGTGCTACCTTTGAAAACTGTTTGCAAATCATAATGAATGCAAAATTCAATGGCTATGGCCTTTACTGGGAATGGATACTGGGAACATTTATCTCCAGTACTTAAAGAGCTCCACTGACACCAGTCTGTCTCCAACCCAATTCAAAGTTATGATGCTTATTGTTAAAAGACCTTTATGGCTTAGGATCAAGGTATCTGAAAGAACAGATCTAGAAAGAAAGAGCAGATGCTTGGCAATATATGAGGTTCTTCTTTGTGTGCCCTTTCTAGGAGATGAGTTAGGTGGTAAATGAAATAAAGGTCTTTTTGGCTGTGGCACCTTGCTTCTGAAATTATATCCTCAGAGATGTTTGCCTTGTGCTTACATTGTATTTTTTCCAGTAGCCCTTTTTATTATCCCAGGTCTTGAGATGAAAGTGTTAAGTGCTGCTTTTAATGTTCTCATGTTATTGTTGTGAAATTATACTGGCATGCCTGTGCTTTTATAAACCACAATAAATAATAAATAATAATAAATAATACACATTCATAGCGGAGTTAGCATAATATCATTCCAGGGAGTTAAATTCTTGCAGCATCTACCATAATGAATAGCCTTAATCCTAGTCTATCTAGATTTTTATACTTTACTAGAGATGATTGCAAAGAATCTGTGGTCTTGTGATCTGCCTTGCCTTAAACAAATAGTGGGGGAGGGGGAGGTTAAATGAGATATTTGTTTTTAATTATTTAAACATTATTTCTTTTATTTTAGTTTAATTGGTAATGATAGATGAGCTGAGGTCCTGTTATGGTACTTTGCTTTGATCCAGCAAGCTCAGATCTTACAACAGTGACCAGCATTGTTTCTTGAAAACCCAGCGGAAAGGTTATGATGTGTATCAGTCAGTTAAACAGATTATGCTGTGATAGGGATGGAGTCATTAGTGTGAAGTGGGAGTGAAAACAATTAGTCTTGTTCCAAGTCAGGGAGTTTATAGACCTCCTGCTTCCATCCACAGGAAAATTTGCCTGACCTTAAGAGTGTATCATAGGGTTGGCAGTTCAGTGTTATCCTAGGCCCTGTATAGGGGCTGCCAGTTCAAGATCATCCTAGGCCTTGATGTTTCCAAGCCAAAACCTGTGCCCCTTCCCACTACAGTACATTCTTAGGCTTTTGCTTGCCTCAGGACATCCCACACGCTCTTTTCTTGGGTGCAACTGGTTTCACAAAAGTTTGTTATTGTTGTTAACTGCCCTTGAGTCGATCATGACTCATGGCAGCCCTATGGATGAGACATCTCCAAGACCCTCTGTCC